CTCTGTTTTTCAGCCATAGTCTTAAACCTTTTGAACATGTTTAAAGCTTCTCCTTTGGTCTTTATCAAGAACACCCACAACATTCTACTGAGTTCATCTAAAAATGAGATGAAGTGCTTTCTTCTTCCACAAGAAAGAGTTTCAAAAGGACCACAAATGTCAGATGAAACTACATTTAGTACATGTTTGGCTCTCATTGACAACCGCTTCACAAAAGGTTACCTACTTTGCTTCCCAAGCATGCATATGTCACATGCTTTATCAAGTGTCACTATCTTAGGCAATCTTTCTACTAAATTCATAGTATTATACTACAACATTTAGGCTCTCCAGCAACCATTCAAAAATGTTGCCAAAACTCTGAAAAATGTTGCCTAAAAGAATAGGGGACGTTTTCTAGGCGTCTCCTGTGCGAGCGTTGCCTATTGTCTTAGGGGACGTTTTTTCATGATCTTTGGGCACGATTTTTAAAAACGTTGCCTAAACAAAAGGAATAGGGGACGATTATTTGTGGCCTCTAAGGCAACGCTTTTTAAGTGTTTCCACAAAAGGAATAGGGGACAGTTATTCGTGTCCTCTGAGGCGACACTTTTTAAGTGTTGCTACAAAAGGAATAGGGGACAATTATTTGTGGCCTCTTAGGTGATGCTTTTTAAGTGTTGCCAAATGAGGCTACAATTAATAAGTGTTTCCTTAAATCTGAATCAGAAGGATTATTTTTAAAATGTCCCAATAAAATAAGGAGGATTGTTTTTACAGTCCCCATAAAATATACATTTTATAATTATTTTTTAAATAATTTAGTCGATGATGATTGGCTTCAAAAAAATATCGATTATAAATTAAACAAGATCAAATTTAACCATCCACAAATGTTATAATATAATAAAATTGAGTTCAAACATTAATTTAAGATAGTAGTTATTAGTAAACAAAATGCCTAACGTAACATTACTTATAATAATAATTAAGTTTAATACTTTGAAGTATGACCGAAGCAAAATAACAAAAAACATATAGTTCAAGTTTAATGTTTTCAACTACAAGCAAAAAAAAAAAGACATCATCCAACTCATTCAAGTTTGTCTTCTTGAAATTCATCATCCATATCGTCTTCTTGAAATTCATCACATATGTCGTCCTTAAGAAATTCTTCATCTACCTCGTCCTCTTGAAATTCACTATCTATATCGTCCTCTTGAAATTCATCATCTACATCTATGTCGTCCTCTTGAAATTCATCACCTGCAACATCCTCTTGGAATCCATCATCCACGTCGTCCTCTTGAAATATTTCATCATTTATATCGTCCTTTTCAACATCTTCATTAATACCTTGCTACATAAGAAAATAAAATAAAATACATCATATTTATTTTTGTAAGATTGAATATGGCTTGTGTCTTAATATATCAGTAAATGAGAATTTTAGAGATAGAAGGAAATTATACAATTCATGAAAATAATTTTATACAATTCACTATCTATAAAGACTATGACAATTTTATATATTTAAATGAAAATTATTATAAGAAAGTACACCAGAACTAGTATATAATAAAAAAGTACACCTGAAAGTACACCAATTTTATATAACTAGTATAAAATTAACTAGTGTTTCTCATAATTTCATCCACAAATGCAGAATTTCATCAATGCAGAATTTTATATAACTAGTATAAAATTAACTAGTGTTTCTCATCATTTTTCATCCACAAATGCTAATATTAACATCCATAGAAAATTCTGCATTGTTGTAATGGTATTTTAAGCAATTTCATGGTGTTCAGTTCATGGTGCAGTACTGCAAAAAATGAGATACAGGATTTATATAACATTTTAGTTCATGGTGTTCAGTTCATAGTTCAGGGGGCATATTGAATTTCAACAATTAATTTTTAAACAACAGGATTTATATAATATTTTACTTATAAAAAAGAATTTTATATAATATTTTTGATACTATTAAACCATAGAATTTATATAGTATAACACAATTAGAATAACATAAATCAATAATATTGGTATATATGGTTACCTTTCCATGACATGAAGCATGAGTTGATGTAGAGGAATGAATTTGCGATCTCATTTCCTTTGGAGAACTGTTAGCATCTCTATGAGATAATCCTAACAAATCTTCTATTGACTCCAAATTAATTTGAGGATTGCATTGTTGTATTACGATCTTAAAAGCGTTTTGTAATCTATCAATCTGATCTTGAAACTCATGCCTTAATGTAGAGACCTCTTCATTATGTGCTTGTTTCAGAGCATTAATCTCCTCCTTTCGCTTTAAGGAAGTTTTAGTTATGTTTCTCCCATAACAACGTACCCTACCGGGACGCTCCTTTCCAAAAACAGATTTAAAAGCTTCTGTATCACTTTCTTCCTTTTCAACCATTTCTTGAAGTTGAGACTAGCATAAATTGCAAGAAAATATTAACTACTATTATAAACAATATAAGCCGACTATATTAAGTAAACATACTATATAAACAATGTTACATACAATTACTTTTCCAGTTTCTACATCCAGCTCCTTTCCTTTACTTCCTTTTCGAGTTTCAACAAACATTTCCGATTGAGTGGGCTCTCTTTTTTCCTTTTCACGCTGCAGAAATTAAAGTAATTCCATAACTAAACAACCAGCGGATTAAATATCCTATTACAGAAACAAGACATAAATTAAAATTCTCAGAGAACCATTCATCCAAGGAATACTTTAATTGAGCAAACAATCATTCATACAAGGAATACTTTATTGTAAAGAAAACTTACCATTTTTTCACGAGTTAAAGCAAAGTTTTTGGGACCCATTCGATGCATCCACTTTAGTTGAGCTCTATTTCTAGTGTTAGTTTCACTGATTGCCTACATTTAAATTTGACGAAATTATTTTAATAAATCTTACTTGATTATGGCATACATAGAAAGGTGAAAAATCACACATACATAAAAAAATTATTATTCTTACTTGTATTGCTTCCTTACTCCAATAATCACAAAGACTTTTAAACTGAGCTATGGGCACCTTTAGTGGACGATTTTTGAGTCTCTCAGTCATGTTCGAATACTTCAAAAAATGATTCTTCTTAATTTTGTGCTTATATCTTCTTCATGCATCTCTAACTGTGGTCTCAACCCAATCTTGTGCTTCAACCGGCAAGATAAATTTCCGCTACAAAATTTATAAGATAAAACAAGATCAAAAAATAAAACATTTTTTTGAACAATTAGACATTCATATTCATATATACACACATACATTAGTATATCTCCAGAAACGTTTTTTATTATCATCTGGCATTCCTGACCAATTGGTGTAACGTAGAGGACAAAATGTTGAGTTCCTAGCCAATGTTCCCAAGAAGAGGCTCAAATCAGATACTACTTTATCATTAGGACCAATTGGTTGACCATCCTCATTAAAGGTTACTTCTGCTCGTTCTTCCAAAGTTCTTGCATGAATCTTTTTGCACAAAGTTTTCCCACGAGTTTTTCTTTGAGATGTTCCTATAAAGTAATCAACACAACAACATGATATCACATGTTTGCTACCAATATGTAAATAATGTATGAAATAATTACTATGAAATACGAAACTAATTACCTTCTTCATTGACTTCTGCCCAATTTTGAACACTTTCTTGATGAGTTCCTTTTTTTGGTTGATTTTGACTAGAGATTGGATTAACGTTGCATCCCGGTTTTTCTCCATTGTTTGACTTGGTTGCATCCATTTTCTTTGACTTGTGAAGTTCTTCATAATCATCAATCAACATTGATGGGCATTTTGGCACTCTCTTTTCCTTTTTAGAGTATTCAGTTTTTGACATCACTGTCTCCAAAGATAGATTAGATTTCTCTAGTTTCTTATTTTTGGAAGGAATAAGTATTTTTCTTGCAACTGTTTTTTCCACCTTCTGAATTTTGTCTCTATTATTCTCTAGTAGATTCTCATGAGTTCTTTTTTTTAGCATTCCTGATTTCAATGTAATTTGCTCATCAAAATAATGTCATAAAAAGAATATATAAATTTAATGTATATCTAAAGATATTAGTTACCTTGTGAAACTTCTTTGTTTCCATGTGTAAAAACTTCCTTAGCTTGTGGTTGCAAAAGCTTAGGTCTCTCTGTTTTCTTTATAACAATGTGGTTGTCCAATTTGCCATCAACCTTTTGAACTCTTTCTCTATTTATTGTATCTTTTTCATGAGTTCTTTTCTTTGGTGTTTCTAATTTTAGTTAAAATTCATCAAAATATATTTGAAATAATTTAACGTAATATATACATAATAAATAATTACTTACCTTGTACAACTTCTTTGTCACCATGTGCATGATCTTTCATTACTTTTGGTTGCGATAGTTTGTCTCTCTCCATTTTCTTTATAACAGTCTCTTTGTCAAAATTGCGATCAATCTTTTGATCTCTTTCTTGTTGAGTTCCTTTTTTTGGCGTTTCTAGTTTTTGTAAAAATTCATAAAAAAAACATTAGGAATAATATATCTAAAGGAAATCCAAAATATAAATTTTACATATGTAATTCTATAAAATCTTATGAAATAAGAAAATGATTTACCATCCATAACTTCTACAACTTCCTGGACCCTTTCACTATTGTTTCCCTGCAGCATCTCATGCAACTTGTCAATTTTTTCCTTCTTAACTTGCTTTAGTACTTTCTTTTTCAATTCTGCACTTGATCTTGCTAGAAGAGGAAAATCAAATCTTTTAGTTGGACTTCGACCACTCTTCCTATGCGATACACCATCTTTTACACTTCTTACATTGTCCATTATGGCCAGCAACTATGAACTACAAAGGGGGAAAATTACATAATTATACAACACAATTAATGTTCAAACACAATCTATTAACAAAAGGGCATATCTCAGTACAAATATTTGTAAACTATGATATAAACTAAGACCATAGAAAGACATAATAAACAATATTCATCAACAAAATGGTAGAACACATTGTGAACATTACCTAATCAGTACTAGAATCATAATCGATTTCATCGTCACTTTCATAACTTGTGTCACTATGATCACTCTCTATTGATTTTTGGTTGTGAAGTTCTGACAAAGGAATTTCAAAGATATCATCCGGCACGTCTTTCCTAACCAAATCCACTTCACAATCATCCTTTAATGTATCAAGATTTATTGAAATATAATATTCTTGAGCATCTGAACCCAAACATTCTCCCATGTCAAACGTTTCCCTTGGAAGTGCATTTAGAACATAGTGTTTGTTCTTGTTTAAAGGATCTTCAATAAAGAAGCACTGTTGAACTTGAGATGCCAACACAAATGGATCATTTTTGTAGCATTTTTTGTTGAAGTAAACGAACAACGATCCATATTTATCCTTTTCATCCACAAACCAATCACATTTGAACAATACATATTTTTCATGACCATAATAATCTAACTCTATAATATCTTTTACTGCCCCATAGTAAGTCACACAAATCTTTTTGGGATTTTCATCCTTTGCATTTCTAATAACTTGAGTCACGGCTTCTAATGTCACACCACTATTTTGTGTTTTAAGCCTTGCTTCGCGGTTCGTTGTATGAAACCTGTATCCATTAATAACATAACCAGAATACCTTCTAACAACATCATTTGGTCCCCTAGACAACACCTTCAACCATTCGGTAACTTCCTCTCCTATGACACGTGTTTCAAACCATTGAATAAAATCTTCTCTTTGATTGTTAGCATTTCTGAGCTTCCTTTTTTTTTTAAGATTATGAACATTAACCTCATGCTCTCTACAAAATAAATAACTAATTTTTCAATACAAAAGAAAAAGAAAACTTATTGCAAAATGAAATGTTGTATCACATAGATGATTATACCTAATGTATTCTTGCACTTCATCACAATTGAATAAAATGTACCCGTGAGCTTGGTTTAGAGACTTATTATCAAGGGAAATCAATTTCTTTCCCCCAATTGGATGACCTATGTGTCGTACCTCGAAAAATACGATCCTCGCGATGGCCGCGGAAAAATACTGTTCGAAACAGAGTCGCCACCGAACTTTATTCATTCTAAGAATGGAATAGGAAAATATCGATAAAACCTTTAAGGAGATAAGAACATGGTCGTCGCAACCAATATTCTAGGTTCGGGAGTCGATTACGTGAGGGGAAGGTATTAGCACCCCTCATGTCTGTTGTACTCAACGGGAACCTCTTGATCGATTCGAGAGTAAAGTTAACTACGCTTGTTTGTTTTCTTCTAAGGTTTCTCCTATAGGGGGAATGGGTGGTTTTAAGATAGGGTGCTCGCCAAGGATTGGGGCCCTTGTGCCTACGTATCTTCACTTGTAAGAAGTGGAAAATCAGAGCATTCGTAGTTCGTGGGACTACGGGAAAAAGAGGGGATTGTGCTCGCTAGGATTATCGCAATCCTATGCCTACTTACTCTCAACAGATATGAGAGATCAGAGCAGCCGTAGTTCGGCTAACTACGGTAAAAGGGGTTTGTGTTTGACGAACGAGTGTTTAGGTTGCATTCTAACTGCTAAACATTGGCTTGTCTGCTCGCTAGGGGAGGCTGAAGCACTAGTTCATATGCACGGAAGAAAGGACTAAACAATGTTCTTTGGTAAAAGGATTGTTTGAATGGTAAGTCGCGCGAGGGCGAGGAATAGTGTTTGTAAGTATTGGGATATTTAACTAGAGGTGACGATTACTTGAAGCTTAAGAAAGACTTCTCGGACCCAAGTAATCGGGAGAGTGAACCAAAGGCTTGGAGCTCTCTCTTTTTCAACCTCAAAGGCGAAAGGATAGAATTGAGTATGGTCTGAATAAGTTTAGCAGATGACGATTACTCGAAGCCTAAGAAAGACTTCTCGGGCCCAAGTAATCGGGAAAGCGAACCAAAGACTTGGAGCTCTCTCTTTTTCATCTACGTGTTTAAGAAAAGGATTTGAATTCGTTTATGTTTTTTAGAAGACAATTGTTCGAGCTTAAGAAAGACTTCTCGGACCCAAACAATTGGGAGAGAGAACCAAAGACTTGGAACTCTCCCTTTTTCATCTTTTATTGAAATTGTATTTTGAGTAATTATTAAGTATTCTACTTTGTTTTAAAGAAAAATACTCAATGCGAGTGGAGATTTGAAATTGATCGTGAAACAGCCTAAGGGTTTTCAGGAAAACAACTGTTCAAGTATGAAGAAGACTCCTCACACTTAAACAATTGGGCAAGTGAACTGGGAGAGAGAATAGAAGACTCTAAACTCTCTTTCAATCAAATAACTTTGAAGATGATTTGAGAAAATGCTTGAGATTTAAATTTGCGTTTTAACGTGTGCACTAGCAAAGTGGGCTAGTCTTCTAAGTGACCAATTAGAAATAATTGATCAAATAGGTATCACTGTAAGGAAGCCCAGGATTAAGCTTTAAAATGTTGTGTATTGTGATCAAAGGTTGGTGGCGAGGCTTTGAAAGCACTCGACTTACAAGGGTGTAAAATGGCTCGATAAATCGAGAATTTATTTTTAAAAGGGTTTTAAAGTATTAAAGCATAAACAAAAATGATAAGAATATTACATTTTGGGAGTTGGGGTACATTTGTCGAATGGGGATAAAATAAAATAAATGAATTGAGTTTCAGAATCCTTCACTCTTGGTCCGATTTTATTTAACAAACTCAAATAGTTAAAGTTTATAAAACCACTTAATTAAATTAATCCAACTCAATTATCCACATTATTCGATTAAAAGTTAATGTAATCAAATAACTAAATTAATTCATATTGACTAATGAAGTTAAATGATTGGGATTTGATTAATTGATTAATCATGTTAATTAAAATTTATTAACAAAACTATTCAATTAAGTCAAATAATTATGTTAATTAAAATTGATTAACAAGATTAAATTATTAAACCAAATTCGAAATTATTTCCTTTTTTTTATTTAAAGAACTTTATATTTCACAGAATTATTCTAACGATGACACCAAACATAAAAACAAATTAAAAGAGAGTTTGAGTTGGACCTTGTTGGAAACAGAAAAGCAGTAGGTTGAAAAGCCGTGATACCGTTGAATAAGTAGTTTACGAAGAAAGAAAATGGGAATTGTGGTCGTGATACTCCCTCAACTGTCTGGTCTCCTTTGAAGATCCCATTTAGATCAATAGCCTGTTGTGCCTCCCCTCACATATCCATCGAAGCATCAATGTTGTTCAACGTCCCGTTCAGTCATAGATGTTGCCAACTGCCACTGAAGCTTCTCAAATAGATCCAAGCACTCTTGATTGTCCCCAAAATCTAATGTTGTACAATCGATGCCATTAATGGATTTCCCTGCATGTTTTTCACTCACTTCAAGTGACTTGTTAAGCATTAAGTCCTTGGAACCGCAACCCATCAGCACGGCAGCACTGGTTACAGCTTCATCACCCACAACCTCAATGTGATTTTCATTGTCAGTGACTTTGAATGATATATTTCCCAGCTATAATATTGCAGCAGACACTTTAAAGATCAGCTCTTCAACAAAAGCTAATAACTTGCGAAACACAAAAAAAAAATGAAGAAAATCTATGGATTTGAAATGATGCTGAGAATATAAGTTCAAACAGAGAAAATATCAGGTGCAAAAATAGAGAATGCCAAGGAGGCGTCGATGCTGGAGAAGTGAGTTGCGGAAGTCGCCAAGAGCACCACGGCGGAATTGAATCTTGAGGATCTCGACCTGCAAATTAACCAGCAGTTTTGGTGTAGCATATTTGGGGTCTTCATGCTTGTATGTAGGGCATCAACTAAACAGGAGCAACTTCATGACGAAATTAAACAAAAATCGACGCGAGTAACATTGCTGTAAATATAGTGCAAACTACCTCCAAAACAAACGAATATAAATCTTGCACAAAAGTTACTGTTATATTAATTCACAAATACACCAGCATCAGTTATTGTTTGTTCATAATCAATGAGCATTTTCCTTATAATAAAAAAAACTGAATCGAGTTTTGCACAAAAACAAGAAAATTAAGACAAAGAGAAACGCGAAGCCGTCACATCAAACTGTTACCGAGATGTCGTAAATTGCTTCCCGTGCTGGACCGAAGGTAGCAGGGACTCTTTGTGGCGTCGCGTGGTTGAGGTTGCTTTCAAATACTGGACGTGGTCGACTCAATTCTTGAATCTATTTCAGAACCTGCAAAATGAAGCAGCTACAATAACACAGTGTTTATGTCGACAACGTTGTTCCAGCTGACGGTGGAGGTTTCGTTGTCCTCTGAGTTATTGTTACAGAGTTGAGGAGTTTGCTGCGAGTTGACGTTGCTAAAGAGTGATGCTGCAAAATTGCTGTTGTAATTTTACGTTGGGAGCAGAAGGTAGCAGAACTTGTCGTTGTGTAACCGAAACTTGGCAATGTCGCAACCTACATAGAAACCAACAGCCCAAACAGAAATAGAAAACATATGCAGTGCTAATGCCACAACAGCTCGACAACAATCCAGCAAACACGACAGTAGCTTGTGACCTTGTAAAATTAATTACTAGAATTAAGACTTATATAGCAGGGAGCAATCGAGTCAACATTATATGGCACCTCAGCTTGAATTTCAGACTCACACCAAACAGTCCATACATTGTTAGAATAATCCACTTTAATTTGAGTTTGCTTTAAAGGCATTCAACCTTCAGAATAGTTCACAAAGCACAAAAGTGTGAGATAAAAATATCATGAGCATCTAAACACGTTTTCTGTCCAGTGACGACATTAGGAAAATATTTACACGGTTCACACAGCTAACATGCCAATAAAAAAACCAACTCAACAAGGTAGAGACGTGAATCAAACCAAACAAATAGAGTGTACAATCGAAAATAAAGTGTTACCTCAATACCCTTTATGAAGTACCAGTAACAAATGAGCTAAATTCAACGAGAATTAGAGTTTTCACTTCATTCCTAAAGCCAAACACGACTCGGTCAGGGTAAGAACTGGACTTTTTGGACGTGGTAACTAGGCGGTGATTCTGACTCGTTCCTCAAACCATTATCTTCACGGTGTCTTCAAATCATCAACTAGCATCCATCGTGAAAGCAACAACAATCTCCTGCATTGAATAATCCAAGGCCTTATTGAACAATAAGATGCAGTCATTAGGGCCCAACTTGGAGTTACTAATGATGTCCTGCGCCCCCGTAAGTCAAGGTCTTGAAGACCCAACTCGTTGATTATAACAGAAGAGGACTTTTTTTGAAAGCCAAAAGTACCCTCCTTGTTCTTACAACTTCAACAATCGTCATTTCAACACAAGTCATTCCATAAATTATGCACAAAATTGCAACAACTACACAAACACATCAACACCAATATTTCAATCTCCTGCGGCATTTGTTCGCTGCTCGCACTGGCCTTGTCACCCGTGTTGTTTCAACGTTATCGTTGCATGGAAATTTTGGCTTCAACTTGCGGCCATGGTAATCTTGAACTTTGTTGTGTCTTCCTCCTATGTTATATTTAATCAGGATATGAATATATCACAACACCCAATATCGGCTTCCTTCTACAAAATAAGAACCAAACAGAAAGCCTTCGAAATGATGTTGCGAGTGTTATCGCGGAGTCAAATTCGAAATCACGCGTTGATGATAAGAGCAGCTACTGCACTTGCCTTTCAAATGCTTCAATGTTGTCGTTGTAACTCGCCGTGCTGCGTATTCGAAACAGGGGAGCTCACCGGAAATTTTACGGTGAGAGCTAAAATGTTATCACGGTTCAACACTATTGACGGTGAGACCTGCACAGCATAAATGCTATGTGGTAACAAATCTGTCTTGTGGCGTTCTTAAATAATGCTGGTCATGAAGTGTTTGTATAGTTGTCGAATATGAAACTCGACGATTGCTGCAAGGTTGTTGTTGTGACCGTCGAAGAAACCCATGGCGTGGTGGATTTTGAATCTTGTAAAGAGGATTGCCTCAGTGGTCGACGATTGGTAGATGGTGGTCGGTAATGAAGAAGACGTAAAACCTGAATTGTGAATGGTTTCAAATGTTTATTGAGTGGTGAAAGTGT